ACCAGCCTCCAACTAGACTCAGCGCCGCTGATGACAACCCTCTGAGTTCTGCCATTCAGCCAGTTCTCAATCCACTTCACCGACCACTCATCCAGCCCACACTTACTGACCTTCCCTAGGAGGCTATCATGGAGACTGTGTCGAAAGCCTTGCTGAAGTCAAGGTAGATAACATCCACGGCTCTCCCTTCGTCTACCCAGCCAGTCGTGTCATTGTAGAAAGCTATCAGATTGGTCAGGCATGATTTCGCTTTGGTGAATCCATGCTGACTACTCCTGATAACCTTCTTTTCTTCCACTTGCTTCATGATGGCCTCCAGGATAAGCTGCTCCATCACCTTTCCCGGGATGGAGGTGAGGCTGACCGGCCTGTAGTTCCCTGGGTCCTCCTTCTTGCCCTTTTTGAAGATTGGAGTGACATTGGCCTTTCTCCAGTCCTCAGGCACCTCTCCTGTCCTCCAGGACCTCTCAAAGATGATGGAGAGTGGCTCAGCAATGACATCCGCCAGCTCCCTCAGCACTCGTGGGTGCATTCCATCGGGGCCCCGGGGCCTGGGATTCCTGAGGGCCAGTGTTAGCACTGAAGACTGAAGCAAAGAAGGCATTCAGTAGCTCTGCCTTCTCTGCATCCTCCATAACCAGGACACCCGCCTCATTCAGCAGCGGCCCCACATTGTCCCTAGCCTTCCTTCTGCTGCTGACCCAAGACAATTGCCTGTTTTTCTCTGTAGAAGTACTGCCCACATTTAGCTGTTTCAAATTTAATCTTAATGAAGTCAATTACATTATTTTCTGGTTTACAGTCATTCTTTCCTTAAATTGTGTGAGAAATCTGTAAATCTAATGAACTTCTAGACCATTTTCATCAATTAGCCACAAAAATTTGTAACATTCCTCCATCAGGTCAGCCTGACCTTGGTGCTGGGCAAGATTATGGAGCGATTCATCCTGAGTGCGCTCACCGGGCATGTGAAGGACAACCAGGGGATCAGGCCCAGCCAGCATGGGATCATGAAAGGCAGGTCCTGCCTGACCAACCTGATCTCCTTCTATGACCAGGTGACCCGCCTACTGGATGAGGGAAAGGCTGTGCATGTTATCTATCTGGACTTTAGAAAGGCCTTTGACACTGTTCCTCACAGCATCCTCCTGAAGAAACTAGCTGCCCATGGTTTGGATGGGCGTACTCTCTGCTGGATAAAGAACTGGCTGAATGGCTGAGTGCAGAGAGTGGTGGTGAATGGAGTTAAATCCAGGTGGTGGCCATCACCAGTGGTGTTCCTCAAGGGCTCAGTTTTGGGTCTGGTCTTGTTAAACATCTTTATCAATTATCTGGATGAGGGGATTGAGTGCTCCCTCAGCAATGACACCAAGATGACACCAAGCTGGGCAGAGGTGTCGACCTGCTTGAGGGTAGGAAGGCTCTGCAGAGGGATCTGGACAGGCTGGGTCAATGAGCCGAGGCCAACTGTATGAGCTTCAACAAGGCCAACTGCCGGGTCCTGCACTTCGGTCACAACAACCCCATGCAATGCTATAGGCTTGGGGAAGAGTGGCTGGAAAGCTGCCCAGCAGAAAAAAAGATCTCGGGGTGTTGTTTGACAGCCCGCTGAACATGAGCCAGCAGTGTGCCCAGGTGGCCAAGAAGGCCAACGGCATCCTGCCTTGTCAGTTTTGGGCCCCTCACTACAAGAAGGACATTGAGGTGCTGGAGCGTGCCCAGAGAAGAGCAACGAGGCTCGTGAGGGGTCTGGAGAACAAGTCTTACGAGGAGCAGCTGAGGGAGCTGGGGCTGTTTAGTCTGGAGAAGAGGAGGCTGAGGGGGTACCTTACTGGTCTTTACAACTACCTGAAAGGAGGTTGTAGTGAGGCAGGTGTTCGTCTCTTTTCCCAGGTAACTAGCGATAGGACAAGAGGTAATGGTGTCAAGTTGCGTTAGGGGAGGTTTAGATTAGATATTAGGAAAGATTTATTTACTGAAAGAATGGTCAGACACTGGAACAGGCTGCCCCGGGAGGGAGTTGAGTCACCATCCCTGGAGGTGTTTTAAAAACATGTAGATGTGGCACTTCGGGATACGGTTTAGTAGCCATGGTGGTGCTGGGCGTATCGTTGGACTTGATGATCTTAGAGATCTTTTCCAACCTATGATTCTATGATCATACTGCCTCTATCCAGGAAGGAGGAAAGCATCATGCCAAGAAATCACATCAGATGCATGCAAAGACAACTTAAATCCATTTTGTAACTTCCTCATTTTATAGTGTGGCTTGACCCACAACACAAATCTCTGTTAAAGAATCATATGTATGTCTATTACATTGTCCATACTTAAACCGAGGATAAATCTTTAGTCAGTTGATTTTTATCTTAAAGATGGGCTAATGATACAGTATGTTCTGAAATGAAGCTCTTTTTTATAATCAGGGCGATTGAAATTAGAATAAAATCTTGCCATGCTGATTTTAGGAACACTGAGTAGGTGTGGACAGTTAGAAGACGGTTGTTCTCACTTAGAGCAAAGATATATTATGCTTTATATTTAAGTATGCATTAAATTCCAAATTTAAATAAATATATATTAAGATTATTCTTCTCTTTAAGAAGTGCTAATTCATGCACTGTAACTGTGTAATCTTCTACATGAGCTATATCCAAGTACTCCTGACATTTTAAGTTGTATTTCTAAACACAGAAAGACTCTAAATGCCAACAGCTTCCAATAAACATTAGAACAGTCACGTATGCTCACTATATTTTAAAATAAGACACTATTCACAGTAATATTACTTATTCAACGTGTCTAGATGTGTTTCTAAGTCCCCATTTTCAGGTCATTGTATTTTAATTAGACACAAGCTGATATATTGAATAGACAGAAGCTGATAAAAGTTTCCACATTATTAGGGCTTGGAAAGCAAAGGCCCTAATATACTAAAAACCAGTGTGTATTAGAACACTGAATTTAAAATTCGGCTGTCCAGGGAGGCAGAGTGGCAAACACACATGGTGTACCCTGTTCAGCAATAGCTAACAGAAAAACAGAACTGAGCAGTACTAGTAAAACCCTCAAAACTGTGATAGGCCTGATAATACAATTTTTAAATGCTGATACTCTTCTTGCCAGCATTTTTTATTAGTTAAGGACTGCACCTAAATCAAAATCCTGAGAGCAGTGATTCACTATGCCATAGTGAGGACAGGTAATGATGTCAGGCATGTTAAAAGACTAAGCTAAACTCACGTTTCAAGAAGAAAAAAAGATCAGTTCAAGAACCAAGAGAAGCAATGGACAGTTGCCATTAAATAGTTATTAGGGAGAGGAAATATACCAGGAAAGAAAATATGGTAGCTAGAAATCAGCACCTAAATTACTCAAAATACCATGATCTACTGAAGTCTGGAGTTATGTTACATATGACATTAGGAAGCTATTTTCTTTGAAATAAGAGGTCTGCATATTTCGAGAAGACAGAGAAAATTACATGTGAAATATATAGATTTATTCCAATTAATTCCTCCTTTCCAACGTCATGCTGAAATATGTGCATTAACTAATTAAACAAAATAGTTAAGAAGAGTCATACAAAAAATACAGTCATTTAGGTTTTCACAATATCTAAGGCACAGACCACGACAGAATTACTGTAATTTTCACATTGCTCTGCTTTTTCTCTTTCTCAAGGAGGTAAAATTCAATCAGTTTTTCTGAAATATGTGCTTTCTTTTCTTGTAGAACTGTTCTCAAAGAAAACTTTAGCATAGCTTACTCAAAGGAGAAGTTTATTTCTGAGGGTTTAGTAGTAAAAGAATTCCTGTGGACAGATATTTAGGAAAGGATCACTTTTCCTGCACATTAAGTTATGTTCTTTGAGAATCCCAGTCTATGGTCTCAGGGCTAAAAGCCAATCATTGATTTCAATGACTTAAATTTAAAAACAAGAAATCAGTGGAAACTGGTTCAGAATACTTACTTGAGGAATGTATCACTAAGCATGACATTAAGACATTAAATTTGAGATGAACTCCACATCCCCAAGTAACAGAAATACATCAATTTAGAATTTTCTAATCTGAATTTTGAAGTTGATTATGCTTACACTGACAAAAATTTAATTGGGTGTTTTCCTAATATTGACCAAAAGCCTTTTCCTACAATCACGTATCAGCTGCTGAAATTTTCTAACTAACATAGAAAAAATGCAAATGTTCATATGCATGTAAGATTTCTAAAGAAAGAAACTAATCTGGTATGTTGGTCTGTTGAGATAAATGAAACATGAAGTTGTGAAACATGGAAGAATTCATTTTACAAAGTATATATGGACTTACAGTTTCACACGTAAGACATCTGGTTTCATTAGTTAACGTTCCCTGAAAGATTTCATGAACCCAGGTTGGGTCTGGCGGGCTGTTATTTTCATTCTCGATGTTGCCATTAGGTAGGCGACCATTTTGTTTCTCTTGTTTTCTTTCCTCTTGCAAGATATCCGCAATTGTATTTAATAGATAGTTTAAGAACTCATGTGCATCCTGCTGCATGTAGTTATCAAAAAGCTCTACAAGACAAAACAATAGAAGATTTGCTAATTAATCCACTAGAGCTACACTACAAAATAGATTTTAAAAGAAGGTGAATTTCAAAACCAGTCTTTATCTCATGTCTTGCATCATTCACGACAGTACAACATCAACCCAAAACTAAGGCATGATTCATCTACCTAAACATAGGTGCACATATAGTGCCACCTGAAATGTTACAGCTTATCCCATCCAGCCTCCAGATGCCAGTCCCTGATGACTTGGATCTTCTATGGAGGCTATACTATCTCTGCCAAACTTAGGTCAATGTCTCGGATAACACAGGGCATCTCAAATGGCATTAGATATTGATATTTTCCAGAAATGAACTGAGAACTTATAACAGGAAATGTTTCATCATCTACATGTTCTATCAGAGGAAGAACATGAACAATAAATGCTGAAACCTTGCTTATTTATTTTCACTTCTAGGGTTCTAAGTCCACTGCTGCTCTGTCACAAGCACAGTGTCATCAATACTAGCAATGAAAATAAGATTAAGACTGACAACTTAAAGATACTGATTTCTTAAACAACTATTTTCTTTCTCAAAGCTCTTTAAGTAAGGTAGTATTTGTTGAAGCCATGCCAAATTAGCCTGAAGTTCTAGCCACAGCAAGAGCAAACAGGTTTCAAACTAGGACTTCAAGTAACAAACAGATCTGTCTCATGATCTGAAATATTGCTTCTCGGGATTGGTATATGTGGCACCTTTATTACTGGTGGACTTGTTGGATAGATAATAATGGATTCACTATGCTTTCCACTTCATGTCCTCAGTTTGTCAACATTTCTAAGTGTAATAGTATTAGGAATAATTCAGTGGAAGGGGAATAGTATCACTGGCACATACTTGTGATGTATAGCAATGATACAGATTAAAGCATAAAGTTGAACTCTCTTTCTTACAAGTCTACGCTCTTGCTTATGTTCAAACTGGTACTACCCTGAAAACATTGTTTAGTGTAGTCTCCCAAGACATCAATCTGAGAAATCCTCTGCGGCTACAAACCCTCATATTAGGAATAGGACTAAGAAAACCATAAAGGCATTGAATCAGGTTCTTTTTAACAGTTACTACTTCCCTCTCTGACCAGGAATTGTTACAAGGAAATTTACGTGCCAATTTCAAAAGCATTCTGTCTCACTGGCTAATGTCATACAAGTCTTTTAATGTGCAATTACTTCAATTAACTATAACTTGCAATTTGCTTGTAGTCTAAGAATATAGTAAGAGCCTGGCCTTCAGTAGAAGGGTAGTTCCCAGGACTGGGAAGATGAGTGAAAAAGCTACACAGTGAAGCTTAAATTTTGAAGCGCATACATAGACTACACGGAAGCTTTACTATCATTCACTCGATGGCATCCAGGAATAAACTTCAAACAGAAATAAAAGATCCTGAACTATTAGCAAAGTAGGGAGAATTTGATGCTAGTCTAGATCATTTGGAGAATAGTGCAATAGGTCAGCCAAGAGTACAAACCAAGTAGTTTATTTAATGAACTACTGCACCATTTTTGAGCTGTAAGAGTAAGTTCAACTCTGAATCTAGCCAACTGTAAGGTCTTTATTTCATCAAGAAAGTCAAGGCAGAACAAGAGCTACAAGTCTCTTGAGGTAAAACACTTCAGAGATTCTTCACAGTGCTACATCATGGACCTCTCAGGACTATGTGCCCAGTCAGTAAATCAGCATTAAGTACAACAGAACGAAAGCTACACATTGTTCATTTTATGATGAGAAGAAATTTAAGCAAACATAATAGTATACCTTCACCTGACTTCAACCCACCAGCTGCTTCCCAGCCAGTTAAGCTTTAAGATCACTAATATACGTATGTTGTAATCAGACTTTGAAAATAAAGATAGAATAGCAGCACTGTAGTCTGGAATATGTTAAGATTATGTTCTCAGTCATCACCCTGGTACAGCTGGGTACTGACTGGAACAGAATCTAGATCAGTGTCGCACGCACACCTACCTGATTCTTTAACTAACTCTTCTTTAAAGCTCAAAATTACATACCTTTACAATAAGCACTTAATAGCATATATGATATCCATGTAATCACTGCCTGACAATTTAGCCATTTATTTGTAGAAAAGGTGAGAGTATCATTACTAAAAGAGATGCCAAAAGCCAGGAAGAGCTCAACTTCCACATCCGATTCCTCTAATCAAGATTTTCCATTTGCCCTGTCCTGCTTAGAATTTTAGTGTCATGACGTAATTAAGCATTAAAAAGAATACTATTTAGAAAAGTACTTAATGGTTCCTGTGGTTTACTTCCTGCTTTCCATTTGAATCATTCTCCATGTTTGTCATAGTTAGTCAACATTCACTGATACAATGAACTATTTCTATACCTGCATCAATATACAAGCATGCTTACTCAAGTATACTTACCAAAAAATTGAACGACAGCTTTCTATTCTGCATAGGTAAGAGATTGCACATTACTTGAGAGCTTTTTTTAAACAATATTATTACAACTCATAGTGTTCATTTGCTGGAGGGGTCACTTTAAATTAGGAATTATATAGTCATTATATTTTATTTCTTGTTTTTACTACAGAGATGGTCATCACAACACTTCAACACTTTTGTAGTGTGCATATATAGTCTTGGAGAGATTACAACAGTATGAACATGTCTATTGCATCAATGTTAAATGTGGTACATCACGCAGCTTATTTAAATCTAGTGGTTATTTTTCAGAAAAAAAAATTATGTTACATTTTTATACAAGCATATCAAAATTGAGTAGAACATTGCTTGGTTTCGTTTATATTTTAACACTGAATTATTTTCTAAAACATTTTGACTAATTAGCCCTGCAGATAAGAAACAAGAATTTTTAAAAAGCTTTGGAAATATCTTGAAATTTAGGATATCAATTACACTAAATAAAATAGCCAAAACTACTTAGTGAATTTAAAATTCATTAATCCTTTAAAAAGTAGGTCAAGCTAAGTATAGCATAAATTCTAAATGAATTTTAAAATTTGTGGGTTTTTAAGATAGATTCTTGGAGGGAAGTCTTAACATCCTTTCCACACACTCAGTTTGGGAGACTGATTCCTGTGTTCAAAGAGTAATGTTTTTTCAAACACAGAACAAAAGCTTTACAGTGAATTTTGATTACGAAAATACAATTTATAGAGGCAAAATTAGCAAGCAATTTCATAAGCAGCCACTGGCAATACACTCAGTTCTACATGAAGATAGACAGACAAGGATTCTCTCTCAAAACACCTCCAGGTTTACACCCTTATTCTTGGGTCACCTCTTCTTATACTCCAGGACCAAGAACACTTTCCATGCATAACAAATATGTAGGTATTCCACTATGTCAACTTCAGAAGTAAATCATAATTGCTATGATTATTACACAAGAAAAAGAAAAAAGTTACCATTTTCTTTTCGTAATCTTGTTATAAATTTCTTGGGAGGTATGACTCCAACTTTTTTCTTCTGCGTGGCTATACTGTGGAAGAGATCAGCTAAGCAGGTAAGGAGATTCTCTTTTTTTCTTGGTTGACTTTTGTATGCTAAGACTTTGTCTCGAAACGGTCGACAAAAATAAAGTGCCTGGAGAACTGAATTGCAGTAGCATGTATTCCCGAACTATAAAACAAGAGAGATTTATTAGCTTGCATTGTATTACTGTAGAGAGGTAAAATTACATCCAAAGTATAAGAGGATGCATAAGCAGCAGGCAAATTTTCTGCAAGTCATTTCTTCCTGACTTTCAGACAGTAAAGCATATTTCTGTTTCGCAAAGAATTAACAAGTACCTTGTAAGTAAATGCAAGAAAAACCTAGGTAAATTTGAACAATATTACATTATTGTCTCACTTGTAAATCTAATTTATGAGTAACATTTTGCATTTACTTGGGTCAAAACATTCAACAAATACCACCAATTTCACAGCTCCCAAAATACGCCCAGGTAAAAATATCCATCCATCTCCCACAGGTCAGCCAGAACAGTAAAGAACAGGCACAGCACAACCTTGTACTGCGAAAAAACTCTGCTGTAATTGAGAGCTTCTCAGGCACTTCAGAAATTGGATTCTTCAAACCTTATTAGTTGTGATCAAAGCCAGAAATAACTGCTTTAACCGGTTCCTACGTTTTCAGTTCTCATTTTAGGGTGACAGGATTGGCATTCACGAATTTTCTTCAAGGATTGCAACCTGGCTTGTTTGGGATTCAAAGCTTTGGCATAGGTGGTAGTTTCAAATCAAGACTGAAAGGAGAAGAATGCACAGTTTGGACACGTGTATGTTGAAGGAGCCAGGCCACTGAAGGGAAACAAGGCAGCTAGAAAAGCATCCGGAACCCTCCCTGTACCAGGACGTTCCAGACGTCCCTCTTCCTCAGAGTCCTTCCAGCTTTTCGGCACTTGAGTCTTGTGATCACTGACACCGTCTCCAGCTCACCCCAACACTGCAAACCTCTCCACTGCCTCCAAGAAGGCATCAGGAGCTGCAAGAGTGGATAGAGCCACTTTCATTTTATGCTGCCCTCCTCCAGTAAAACCTATTCTCTAACAAAGAAAAATGTTAGATATGTGAGAAATGTGTGAGAAAAATTTTTACAAGGCCCTCAGCAAGTAATCCAACCTTCCAGCTGCAGTCACTCAACCTGCAAATTGAAGCCCATACCTGCTACACACATTCTGTAAAATGTGAAAATAATGTTCATATATATGTTTTATATAAAGATAATACATAGCCTATACAAGCAGCAAATTCTAAGACTATACTGTGATGGGGAGACTGTTATATAGCAAATAGAGTGCATTTAGAGATATGTTAAGAGCAGGTTCTTTCAGCAGAGAAAACGAACTAAAAGCTTTTACATCTTAGGAAGAACAGGGAAGTAATTGGTTTTTGCTCTCTCCCGACTAAGACAATGACAAAAAGAGCACCATGCAATTTAATCAGAAAATTGGAAATCGAATTGTTTTCCTTTATTTTAAACTAATGAAATAGGAAGCACTACTTTATAAATACCCAAGATACACTCAAAGAATTAGTAGGAAGTGTGTTTTAAAAAAAGGTATTAATAAGTCTTAAGATCTCCATATTAAAGTGAGGAAATTAACACTCATTATTTTTATTTCTTTAAGCTAGGGAAAATGCTTATATTAGCTTGTTTGTGGTCCAAATCTGCGCTCAAGTAGGTCACTGAACTTAAAGGGAAAACCAGGGCTTTCCCCTTACAGGAAGCAGATGAAATCACACAGTAGTTTATGTCAAACCTTTTAATATTGTAAGCTAACTATTTATGAATTTAGAATTAGAAATAGCCATAAAAGGAGAACTACATTAAAATGTTAAGAAAGTTCTTAAAATTAAATCAAATGGCGAGAGTGCTAAAATTTCTACAGCAAGTGTCAAAAGATGAAAAGGCAGCAAATTAGAAAATTCATAACATTCCGATTTTAAAAAGGAACAGTGTGACGAGAAATTAATTGGAATGGCAAACACTCAGTGAGAGAATATATGAAGCAACAGAGAACTCAGAACACTGAACAATATTCAGGAGATTAATTTAACATAAATGTATGTTAACCTGTATGCCCGTGTACAGGAAATAAAAGCAAGCAGATTAAGTTCATAAATGGTTTTCTTCAACCAAATTCAGAAAGGCAGTAGGCAATGGAAGCGTTTGAAAACTAACTCCTAAAGAAGATATAATTGGTTCATGTTTGGTTGATATCTAAAGCATCAATCTTCATCACTTTAAAACCAAAAATCTTTTTAAAATAGAAGCTTCCAATCATTAAAAAATTATAATGGTACACGTACTAAACAACCAGGGGGAAAAGGTGAGGAGGTTTCTAGACTAAGCAAGCAGGGAATTTGTTACAGGAATAAATGCTGGTCTTACCACCATTATTACTGCACTTCCCATCTTTGACGCCAACACAAAAGCACCCGTCTCATTTGGAGGACACCCAAGACCTTGCTCCAGTCTCCCCACCCTCCCACTGAACAGCTAGACTTCTCTTCTGAATTCCGCCTCCTCCCGCTGACCTGCCCAACAGCCCCCCTCCTCCTCCCCTGCCCTGGCAGCCAGCATTGCCTCCGGAGCATGACCCTGGGCCAGAAGACCTCCCAGCAGTCTGCGGCCACAACCTGCATGCCTTGTAGCGACGGCGTAAACGCCCCAACACCGGTCCGAAATATGAAAACGCACAGCACTGGAAGCCCATCAAACTATCCCAAACAAGAAGCACGCTGAGTTAGCGTTACAAATTAGCTAGCTTTATTCAAAATGTAATTGTAGGAAAACAAAACGCATGTGAAGTCTGCCTCAGAATAACTGTAGAAAACTCTAAGAAAGACCACCATTGTCATTTTGTATCTTAAACCGTCAGCCTGTACCGGCTCCTCAAACTCCTCTGTCTCACTCAGTAATACAGACTACATGGAGTAGAGTTACTTTAGCCTACATTTTCAACTGGTTTATTGCTTGCCTCCTTGATTCTGTGAGGACCACCTTAAGATGTGCATATCTAGGAAAAGTAAAAAAGCAAATGTTCTCTTTTTTCCAGCTCATATTGTTCTTTTGTCCTAAGTTCTGAGCAGTCAGACTATTTCCTTTCACAAAAATACTGCACTCTGTATGTTTCCCACAGACATCTCTGTTTTTTTTTTTTTAAATTCCAAAATCAAAGTCACAAAAAAGCAAAAAAGAAAAACACTGTTGGAAAAAAAAAAAAAAAAAAAAAAAAAGACAATAAGGGAAGTCAAACCAAAACCACCACACACTCACTAAGGCTTGTAGGCTTATAGTTTACTCTTCTGATGCTACATACAACTGGGAAGAAACTTGGCTGTTGAACACCACAGATTTACAAAAATGAACAGGAGATCTACCAGAAGTTAGATCTGCTCAGAACACTCTCTGTGCAGCACTAGGGTTGCTCCCAGCTCTGATGCACCGGCAACTCTGACAACTGTTACTTGTTGCAATGGGCCACACCAGTAAATGGGATTTCTCCAAAACACACAGATCCATTGCAAGAGACTGAATAACCAAGCTTTCTGCTCTAGAAGCTGCTGAAGAGCCACCAGAGTAGCTCTATGGAGATTATAAATGTTCATTATTTCATACTCATTGGGTAAAATACTGGATTTAATTTGCGAAGCACATAGATTTGAATAGTTTGCATTACTGCACTGCAGAGGGAAGGAAGAATGACAGGCAGACTTGATGTTCCTGACTGTCCATGTGCATGGGATATCATGCTAATAATATTTTCATCTTTAACGGGCACAAACTGAAGCATAGGAAGTTCCACCTGAACATGAGGAAGAACTTCTTCCCTCTGAGGGTGACGGAGCACTGGAACAGGCTGCCCAGGGAGGCTGTGGAGTCTCCTTCTCTGGAGATACTCAAGAAAGACCCGCCTGGACAAGGTCCTGTGCAGCCTGCTGTAGGTGACCCTGCTTCGGCAAGGGGGTTGGACTAGATGACCCACAGAGGTCCCTTCCAAAAAAATCCTGCTGATTTAGTGAATGGTATTGTCTTTTCAAGCCTCAGCTGAGTTTTCCATTTAGAGCTTTCATTGACAGAATCAAACATCCCATTAGCCATCTGGTCTTCCATATGCTTCCCATAACTGCCCTTTCTTAATTCTCCTTTTACCTCTCAAATTGTTCTTTCAGATACCCTCTGAATAATCCTTAGATTTCGCCACAAAGCTGAAGATAAGGTAGTGCTTCTACCTCCTCTCCTTTTACACTACCTCTGGATAAACGCTGCATTTACCATTGACAGATCTCCATTTCAGAATTGACAGCTTCATCTAAAATCCTGTCCTGCATTCCAGACATCTCAAATGGCTAGCTATCACACAGCTGGAAGAGAGCTATTGATTGCCACATTATCTCCATTTTTTCCATTACTCTGGACAAAATTAGGACAAACAAAATCAACAGACAAATTAGAAAAAATTAGCAGTAAATGTTTATGAACCTCTAAGGGCTTCTTGTAATTGCTATAAAACAATTAGAGAAATCAAGGAAAGCAAAAATTGTGATTTCTATCACTTCTCAATAGCATTCTTAATTTATTATCTAATTATCTAATATTTCTTTTAATTATTATTAGCTCTGTCATTCTTTCTGAATGGCAATTGGCCATAGTTTGCTGATGAAGAGGGTCGCTCCCTTTCATTTTCCTGACAGATTTAAATTCTGCAAGCTTATCACACATTTATTGCATATACATACTGTGTTGAAAAACAGAATCTGTACAACAGATCTGAAAATCATCCAAGCAACAATATGATTGAATTTCCTTAGCCAGCCACTGTAGCTGAAAAACACAGCACCAGTGTGCCAAAGATGTAGTGGAATCCTGTTTTACTATTTGTTATAATTCAAAGAATTTTGGTCAATGAAATTTTATTGTGTTAAGATATAATTAGCAACATTTCTGTACTACACAGAAAGTTAAGAGCACTCTGAGATATCTTAGCTGCCTGCCTCTTATGTGTACGGTTGAGGGCAATGACGTAAAGACAGATCTCCCCTCAAATTTCCTACTCCCTCCAGACCACAGAAAGCCAGAATTTGTTGGTATTCATTATATATTAGGAAGATTGTCTTTTATTGAAATTTTTCTTAAGACCACAAAATACGTAAAACTTCCAAGATTAGGTCCACAATACAATTTTACTGTTAAGTCTTAAATCCTCTCTGGACAAGAAATTATGAAAACAGGTTACCTGTCAACAGAACAGCAGATTTGAGAAAAGATTAAGAACAGCTTTGATGGAAAGCCTAAGCTCTGCTGCAGACTTAACAACTCGTATCAACAGTTAAGCTACTGTATTTCCTCTTTTCAGAGAACCACGCATATTTCAACTTCTGTGAGAAAGGAAAAAAATTACTAATTTAAGTCACAGAGTGTTTACTGACTGCACAGTGTATACTGGGACTGCAGACCCTTGAACCTTGTCAGTGCTAAGAACCTACAACTAGAGGCATATGTTACAGTACCAGGACAGCACTAGAAGTACTTAGTTTCACTAAGAAAAACAAGACAATAGCTCTTGTTAAATCAGCTTGGTTTAAATATGCACTTTCTGAAACCCCAACAAAGAAAATAATTTAATATTTCATTTCAGAATAATGCAATTTCTAACAAGATACACTTCTCATGGATAATATCAGAAATAAAAATTTAAATTATTCCTTAAAACTAATGATTGAATTGAACAATTTGGTATGTTTTTTGCACCACTGCTTTCACCTTTGGACTCAGTATTTTTTTTAAATCTTAATACAAATAGCAGATTTGAACACTTCATATCATCAACAGTCTTTCACAGATTTTTTTCTTTTACTGTATTTATTCACTTAGGTTGACATATTACGTAATACAAGCTACATATTTTAAACTGCTTTTTTTTTAAACTTCTAAATTTTAATAGCAAGAAAGTAATTTAAAAAATACCCTACAATTAGTAACAAGAAATAAAGTGCTAAATACACAGTCCAATTTCAACAATTATTGCAGTAGCATATTTCAACAAATACACTGAATACTGAAACATATTTCAATAAGTATGTATACTCATTAACTATATCTTTCAGTGTTTTAATTATCCACTCAGTCAGTCTTCTAACTTAACAAATCAACTCATGGCATTTCAATGCAATGAAGTTATGGTCTGAAACTTACATTAACCAAACCGAAATAGTGCTCATTGACTGGAAATTGTTCCGGACCAATCTCTTTCTCCAAAGCTGAGGCATTGGCGCCCTACAAAAATCAAAAGCAGTGAAATGTTAGTGTTGCAACTACGTACACGGCGAATTTAATTAGCTGAGGAAAAAAATATTTAGTATTTTGGCAAGGACCACTGACTTGTCTTTGAAAATTCTAAAATCAGTAACTACGGCCATGGGTGGCGGCTCATAAACATCACAGGCATCTAAAACACAGTCACAACTATGAGTCTGGCCACAGCACACAGCTGGGGCAAAGAGCTGTTCTTCAAGAACCAGCTATGTTTTGTATCATTCATACCGAGATACAGTAACGCTTTTCACATTATACTTCAGTCCTGATTCTTACATTTGGACACTGTCTGGTTAGCTCAGTCAAATATTTTTATCCCCAAACAAACACTTGTTGGTTTATTTCGCTTTACCTACAGGGGAAAAAAACTCCCCACAAACCAAAACCAACCAAAAAAAACCCCGGTCACAGCTATAGACCTTGCTAACACAAAACCAGTATCTTCAGATCTCAGACCGTAAGACTTCAGGTCTACTAAACTTACTTACACTGAAGGTCTCTCTAGTGAGGAGGGAGGAAAACAAAAATAAATGAGACATCAAATACTGAAAACAGATGAAACACCTTCCTGTCTGTACCCTGGAGAGGGGGATAGAGTGGAGTTTGTGACTCAGCTCAACAATCATACGTGGCGAATTAACCAAACTTGTTCAGTTGGTCTATTGCTCAATGCAAAGACAAGCTAGTAGGCAGGATAACATCAGCCATCAATGCAGATAAATCGGTCCTTTGACTTCTCGGTTGATTTGCACTCTCAGGATGTTTAGATTGTCCACAAAATCATTTCACACAGGTTTTCAAGCAGACAGCAAGTTTTTTGTGCCCTAACTAAACTCAATACTTACATACTTATAATAAAGGACCTGACACTCTTCCACCACCAGAAAATCATTTCAACATAATCCAGAATACCTTAGAGATATGTGTTTCCAAATCTGTTCTGTTCAAAATCATCTCGCAAGCAAGTTGTATCTTTTTCACATATTTTCACGCAATTACACTGTTTTGATGTACTGTATTTATTAACTTCAGAATGGAGCTTCTTTAATAACAACTACATTAATATAGTATTGCAAAGCAGGTGATATAAGGCCAAATGGTGAACTCCTCTTAACAAGTGTAATTCTCATACTGTGTAGCACATTTCAGGAAAAGTTAAGAAATGCATATTGTTCATAGCAAGAAAAGAAATCAGTCTGTTCCACTTCCATTGAAAATATAAAATGTTCAAAGTGCTTTGTTAAATACCTCAAACTTTGTAAAATTAAAAGACAGCACGGTACAGTTAGCGTTGGTGTGCACTACAAATGCTGCAGCCTTTGCCCAACAAATCTGTTGGGTCTGAGCCTCAAAAAGGAGTCAGAAAAGGTAACTTTGGTTATGCTGTGGTTCCAACCGATGACTGCTGACTCAAGTGGTGCAATAAACATTTGGTTTCAAAGGAAGAAGAGGTTTTTATTTAGAGAGAGCAAAACCTCACTCTGGGAAATTCAGAGAACAAAAAACCCCTATCTTTCTGTGAGCTCTTACGCTGATTGCTTTTAGAGGAAAGCAAATGTATCCAACCCTAAATCCCTTTCGTTGTGTACAACATTGAGATATATGTATCTCCTCTACCAAACTAATACATGAGCATGAATATTCCAGTCCAAAATCAGGCCTAAGTGAAGATAAAATAGCACACAGTATACAGCAAAACATCTTACCACAATAAAATTATATCAAAATCACAAACTGCATTAAAAATAGCACGCAGGATTTCACAGATTAATTACAGATGGGGGAAGTGGGAAAAAATCAAAATTAGGACTGTATCAAAATGTATAAAATTACAATGAAACTCTGTTATGTGGTATCTGCCATGATGTCATTGTGCTACTGCAGAACTTGAGTGGTTACACAATCTAGCTTAGTTCTGAAACTGGAAACACATGGTCAAAGGCCCATTAGGAGGTAACAACTTTAACCAGAGTAGAGCAAAAGAGAGCGCAACTCCACCCTTGAGACAGTACAGCTCCGCTCCATTCACAACACGGCCCCAGCTGCTTTTTCATCCATCATATCCCCTGCAATTATCCAGTGTGATAAAGCCTCTCCTTTACTGGGGATTTGGCTGCAGGGCTTACTGCTTTAGATGCTGTTCTCAAATGGTGATGTTGGTGGTGAGGAAAAGGGGTATAAAGCCTCATTTAAGATTAAAGCGCTCCACAACTTCCGAATATTTAGTTTTGCAGCTGTATTGAAATACACCCACGAGCTCCGGCAAGGTGGATATTATTTACAAATAAACTAGGGAAAAAAGGAACTCTGAGGCCTTTTTATCCTATTGTTAAAATTCCTACTTCTTTAAACATAAATAAATTCAAGACCAGGCTTTTAGAAGTAGCTGCTTTATTCTATCTTTGGAAGGAAGAATATTATGGTATAAGCTTTGATGTTTCTGTTTTGTACTGAATACTATATTTAGTTTTCTCGCACAGTAAAGATCCCAGCTTGGCAATAAGAAAGACATGCTAAGATATTCCAGTATTGTTATGGTTTTCTGATTATTCACGGCTGTTTCTTTCAAGGCTTAGACTTTCACACGATTTCAAAGCACGGCATTACCTATGTTTGAATGTAGTTGTTTATGAATGTTTTATTACTACAAACCAGCATGGATGTTTTACACCAATACAAAATTCACTAAGCTACTTAGACTTTTCTCTACAGCTCTCTTTTTGTCTGTCATAAAGAATGTTATTCCTCCTCCCAAAGTAGTCATTTATACTGTACACAGTGTGTTGGCTGCAGAGTGAAAACATCGTATGCAGCAGAGGCTTGACAGAGGATGCTAAAACGCATGTTCGCGTCTGACCCATAAAAGCTATTTTAAAACCTAACTGTCCCTCGCTGCAAAACGTTTCCCACTCACTATTACAGTACACACCCTCCATCCCAGCTGATGCCTCCATTACGCACATGCAAGTGCAGAGGGGAAGCACTGCGGCACCACCAACCGTTACGGTACCATAGCATCTCCCGGACAAGAGGACAGCAGAGGTTTACGGCAGAAGTGGAGTCTTTTCTCTTTCCATCAGCCAAAACGGACTTACTGGGCTTGGGATCTAGACTTGGGAGACTTCAGTATCTGATGTACGCCACAGAGTATAGAATTTCTTCCTGTGCCAGTTAACAGGGATGTGGGAAGATCCAAAACCGAACCTCTCTATTCTGGGCGCTCACTGAACAACCCATGCAATAGCTGCTCAGTCCCCACACAGCAACTTGGCTTTGACACTGTGCAGGGGGGAGAAAGGAACATCAACTTTGTTTAGCTCACCCACCTCCCGTATCCCCTGCCCTTCTGAGCAGAAGCACGCAAGGCCATTACCCACAAGTGGGAAGGAACGGAGGCACAACAGAAGTCCAGAAAAGCTAATATTGCAATAGTACTGGCATTTACCAGTTTTTGAATCCTATCAGTATAAAACCTATACATCACCAAACATTGCCTTATATTGCCCCCCTTCCAGCACAGAGGTAATTATACAGGCACACAGAACATATATTTGTCACAGTTAACACTATATAGCTTTATAAAGTGGAAAGTCTAGCAACTCAGACGTGTATACAAGAATACGGTATGAAATCAAGCCTTCCTTAACTTTGTTATTGAAAACAATCTTGGAAACAATGTTAAAATATCAATTACTACAAAAGAGTGTTCTCACCCATAACGAAAGTTACGTGTAAAGCTGAAGTGCTGTATACTTCGCCCTGTGTTCAACTTCAAATTGATATGAGATCGATCATGAGTAATCTTAGTTTAGCCATGTTCAAATCAGTTGAACATTTATTGCTTGTCTCCCCCACCAAGTTAAAGAAAAAAGCTATACTATTGGTTTTATCAAAGCTCCCCTTATATATTTCTTAATAAAGGAAAAAAAACCCGTGTTTACCATGGAAGGACCTTAATTAAGTTTCTCAACTTTTATTTTCAATAGAGCTCAAGGTTTCTATAAATTAACACACTTAACATTAACCAAATAAGTGTTTTATTTCAGTTTAGTGCCCAGAAAACACAGTGGGAGAGGAAAGTGTAGTGTCTTTTAATTAAGTACACTTGAATTTCCCTAATCTTCAAGTTTTACAGATATACATTCTCCCAAAGCTCTCAGATAAATTTTAAAAACTCTGATATTGTACACATCAATAGAAAAGGGGACAAAAATATAAAATGCAGACATACGATAGGCTTGTTTGTTTGTTTAGTTATTCACTTGCTAAAGCAAGAATATTGTTCAATGCCATTTCCGCTTTTATTACTGCCTTTTCTCACTGCCTCAAAGGTCACACTACTGTGGTGCTACATGTTGAACTAGTACTCCTGAGACACACTAACAGCTACCATATGGGCAAGCTAATTGAAGCCCATCTGTAAAGCAAATCAGTTGGTGCTTATGATCTGACATACACACTCTGGGTTTCAGAGGGTTTTTGCCAGATTAGTTCCAGGCTGGCTCTGTGACTGAACACCCAGCTGCAGCTCAACTATGCTGCCTGATTTAGTTTCCTCCGAACAGAATCTAATCTGTGCACTCTAAGTCCACTCCAAGATGCAAACCAAAGTATGGTAAATTGGGGTGTGTACGGGAGTCACTTCGGAATTGCACACACCTTACCTGAACTAAAACACTAACAAAAATGCACCCAGCACTTGTCTAAAGAAAAAAAAAAAGGCCACCCTATATTAAAAATACCGTCTAAAAACATGTCCGCAAGCAGGTAAAGAACTGCAGTTTTAAAGTGTCCTACCTTGTTGTAACCTTCCAACCTAGCAGGCAGCATTTCTCTTACAAAGACTTCATTCATAACCAGCCTAATGTCCTTTGCAGATTACACTGTAAGTCTTCTTAGGGTGGGTAGGGGGCTTTGATCTGTCCCCTTCTAGAGTAAGTATCAGTTGATAACTTTGTGGGTCATCTTTTCAGCAGTTTGCTGTAACAGTTTTATCCTCCATCTTTATTCAGTTATAAATTTGCTGAGTAAAAGCAAGAATTTCACCTTTAGAAGAAATTTCTTATCTCAAAACTTACATTTGTTCTCAAGATTCCGAAGATCCCTTTCTCCCTTCACACATGCGCTATGGTGGATCCTTCCCTACAATGCTCTCCACCTCCCTCAAGACGCAGGGAACAATGAAGATAAAAGGTGACTCACATAACTAAACCATGCTGCATAGGTATACGTAGGCCTAATTTCTGAAACATGACTTTAGCTATAGGTAAGTGAACAACAACAAAAAAATCCCACAAAACAGAACTTCTATTCTTGCTAGTAACAGAAAGGCTTTACACGTAAAAGGGAAACTCAGTAACCGGGAATAGCAATGTTTTTCTGAACAAGAATAAAACATTACAAGTGTTATATTCATTCCACTATTTATAACTTGTAAAAATAAATCCCAGTGTAGAAGCACTCATTTACTAGTGCTTTCACCTTTTTTTTGCCATGTATTACAAGACTCTTCCTTGGCTGTGCCACTAGTGAAGGTGTACAGAATTTCATAGCCTACACTAATTAATGTGCTCTGACTGATGGAACCTTCTGTTAAAGAAGAAAGACATAATTCTACTCTTCCAGTCACGTTTTACCAGAATATGCAAATTCATACTTTTCCATGTATTTATATAAATCAGGATTGAGAACAAACAGAATAGCTATGTTAAATCAGTTTATATCTGTTGTTTTGATTGCAGCCAAAATGGAAACACATTTAATTCGATACCGTTTGGAGCCCAGGAAGCAGAAGTGAAATATGCTGAGTGGGATTCAATAATCCTCATTGATCGTTTATTTGCAAAAGAACATGTGTTAGTAATACACAACTTGATAATCTAACCATGAAATATTTGGATAGTTTCAGCTCATATTTTTTAAATACTTACAAATAGTGTTATTTTCTTTACTAT